CTATCATATGCAACACACTGCATATTTAATATTTCATCAAGCATATATAGCTTTCACCTTCACACGTTCCGCAATATCTCAACACGTAGTATATATTCAAGTTTAGTGTACAGAAAGTTTTTGTTATAAGTACAGAAGTAGTTGCGGCAATTTATCCTATGCTATGATATCTTAAAGTTAGAAGAAATGATTAAAACTTTAATGAAACTATTCAATAGTCTAACATTCAACCCTTTGTCTAATTCTTCTTTCCTGGAATTTCGATTAAAATTGTGTCAGTTTATGTAATGTCTGTTTTGCAATATATTCACATAGACGAAGAAATACTCTAAATAGTTTCTAACAATATCTTGTTTATTAAGAAATTCTGTTAACGCAGCAAAATTATAAAATTTTAAATTCAATATTAAATTTTGCATAATGTGTTAATATGTGAGACATCAAAATAAAATTGTCCTGTCCCTTAATTTATGCATAATTTTGTTAGTTGCAACTAATATTATAGGCATTTTATAGAATGATAATGAATACTTATAATGAAAGATATTGTTGAGTGCGAAGGGTTAATGAAACAAAGAGTAAAATAGTATACAATTTTCTTCCTGTAACGTCGCGCGGTATAAGGTGTTCAATGATACTTGAGAATAGGGGAAGCTACTTCGTCTTCACCTTCATTGACTAGTGAACATGCTGCTGCTTAAGTCTCGAAGACAAAGTGGGATATGTAAATAATATGATGCGAGTAACACTTATATGATTGACCACATGGACGCTCGGTATAGTACGTTTCATTTTATTGTTCCATGCCGTCTCGCTCACATGTATTCGATTTGCGAGACAAACTTAACGGAACGCGGTATTTGACGAGATGAGTTTAACAAAACTAGAAAGCTGTATGAAATATAATAAACAATATAATGTTTTAAACAATCATATTTTTAAAATATTTAATTTCAATATATTCTCCAAAAGTGAACTTGTTTTTAATATAGTTCTGTGCAGTAAAACAATTTATTATTTTAGCTTACCAGGACAAAATGGCCGTTTTAGAAAGAAAAAATTAATCTGAAGGGCACAGCAATGTAGTAAAAGATTTTCTTTTTTACATAAAGGACGCGTGATTATCGTAAATATAGCATAAAGACTCACTCGAGCGTAGTTAATTAGTTTTTTTCTTCAAAGATCCGTTGAAGATAAAAATGAGGACAAAAACAAGGTGTTCACTATAAAGCTGATGGTATGTATACATTTGATAACGTAACAGAAGAATTAATTTCACTATGAATGAAGTCTAGTGGGACTGTAACTGCTTGATAGCAACATAGAAGTTATGTACTTTCTTCATATATGTTATGTTTTCATTTCCATTTTCATTTTCATTTTCATTTTCATTTTCATTTTCATTTTCATTTTCATAGTGTATAATGTAACTGTCTTAAAGAAACTATGAAATTTGTAGACGAGAATGAATTCAATACATTTTCAATTCACATTAGTTTCACATTAATTTCTTTCAACTATTCAATTTTTTGGATTGTAATAGATTTTATAATAAGAATCAGAAACAAGATATAAGTTATCTAAGACGAGTGGATCAGTTTGTATATTATATTATGAGATACTTAGTCACTAAAGTGAGCAAGAATGCTAACTCAAAATGAAAAGATGAATAATGTAAAAAGTACTGTAGAGGTTTTATTTGTAAATTATTGAAAATGAGTCAAACGCGCCTGATGTCTGGCAACCTGTCTATCATCAATGCAAGTAAGACAAGTCAATGGTGGGACTAAAATAATGAAGAGAGTCGGTTGGGGTTATACATTTGTGCTTTCTAACTTTTTTATACAACACATTTAAATTTATTATTTATTAATGATCTCAGAATTATAATTATAATGGCATTATCAATTACTTTTTACAATGCTGATAACTCTGCCCATGTAATTCTTATGTATTTAAATTATTTCTGCATTTGTGATCTCTTTAATATTTTAAAATTTTGTAAAAAGACGGTAATAAATATTTGGAAGCTACTGGGACGACTTGTGTTACATTATTATTGTTATACTTTGATTACTTTCACTGTATTATCAAACAATTTATCGTAATTTTGTCAACCACTTTCTCATATAGTGTTTTTTATAACAACATTCGTGGTATCAGGGATATCTCCTTTTCCTTTCATCTAAAAGAGAAAGTAAAAATTTATTACTTTAAAAATATTAATTTCTCAAGAAACTTAGGTATCAAATTATAATATGTATTACCTAAAGTTCGATTTTTATATATAAAAAGAACTGAGTAATATCTTAAAAAAAGGTCTTCTGACGAGGTTTTTCATAGTGTCTGTTATAAAAATACTGTTTTGACAGCTGGTTGTAAATTATGGAGAATTTGTTGGATAAAATTTTGTTTTACCTTATTGAATATCAGCAATGCCTGTCTATATAATATTCTTTCCTTTGACGTACCTACAAGTTCCCTCATTAACGTTTTTCTGTTTACTTCACGTCCATCCTTCCTTCGATAAACTGTTGTTAAAACCCTTGTCGATAAACTGTTGTTGTACCCTTTATTGATTTGCATTGTCTGCATCATTTTTCACAATATCAAAGGTCTTTTATTAAATAAACAGACGACATTGTTGGTTGCAATTTGAATAATATGTTTGTCTTCTTAGTGGTCTAGTTAATATAAAGGGAAGTTTAATGATATGTGATATTACAATATGGAAAGGACTACGAATTCTGAAATCTGAGTTCAATCAACGTAAACACCAAAGTTATGGCATTCTTTTCGAGGATCGTGCTAGGCCAATCAGCTGCGAAATTGTATGATGTATGTTAAGGTACACCAAGTAATTATTCTTTAGCTTAATTCACTCATTTCGCTTGTTTTCCATTTATTCCGGTTGACTTAGTCATGAATGCAAATAAATGGGACCGTGTGTCACATCAACCAGTTCTGCCGTACTCGTAAATCGAAGTGACTGATTCAAAAGATTACAATAGTGGGATCTGCATAGCACCCTATGGGAAGGGCGACATGATTCGCCTGTGCCCATCAAACCATAATTGCCAAGACATCGCTACTTTGTAATCTGTCCGTGCTCTTCTCTGAGGGCAGGACGTTGAGTAATTAACGGGAAAACTATGATGTCGATTGCGATCATCCTCTGATCCGTAGATGAGGGAGCATCATAATTCGTGAATGTGGTTCTAGCTGGTGCAACGCGGTTTGTTTCGCGTCACTCTCGTTTTTCTCTTTTTTAATCAAATACTGCTTCTCTGATTTCTCTCATTTTGGAATCAAGGACTTCTTTCTTAATTCGCTCCCTTCGCACCGGGTCCCGATAATTACTTGGCATGCGCTGCCGCCTATATATAGCTTAAGTTATCCGTTAAAGCTAACTTAAGTTAGAATCAAGTTGTCGAAAGAAGTCACCGACTGTCCATCGTGGGACATTTTTCTAGGACGGCCACCGAGGGATTAACCCCTTGCCCTATGATTTTTTTCTCAACTCTGATCGATACGACTACTTTGTCTTAAATAATTTATTGGAAAAAGAGACAAATTATAAACATATTGTATGTTTACGTATCCTTTGTATTATGATAATTGATTACAGGAGAATAATGTTTACTTTGAATTCGAATGAACCGAGTAATGTTTGTGTTTGTAAAATCATATTGAAAATCTTCACCACGAGTCTAATACGTTGTTATAAGGCAAGGGGTTAATGTTAAATACGATAGTTCTAAGTGCTTTAATAATAAGATTTAGATTTAGAAAGGCAGGTCGGTGGAATTCAGTTTCCATCCACCTCCCTGGGTCTCGTTCACAGCAACCTCCACGTGGTGAAACCTGGAAACTAACATTATCGTCGATAGAGTAGTTCCTATCGAGGATCGTGCTAGGCCAATCAGCTGCGAAATTGTATGATGCATGTTACAGTATGCCGAGTAATTATTCTGTAGTTTCGTTTATCTCTTTTTTAATCGGAGACCTCTTCTCTGAGTTTCCCCAGTTGCAATCGGAGACTTCTTCTTAATATCCTTTTATATACCATATTTTCAATTTCGGAAAATAAAACCAGATATGAAAAAGTGATTGTAATAATTTTTTGAAAAAATAAGAAACCTGTTTGAAAATAGATAATAAAATTTTTAAATTTTTCTTATGTATTCTTTCAGATATTTTTGATGATTTTAAACAATTCATTTCAAGGAAAACATGTTTAAACTATCACTTGTTGCTGTGAACGCTCAAACCTACCGTATCTATAAACGCGGTAGTTTTGCAAATTTCCAAATAAAACTTTAGGAAAATATTTGTAGATATATCGTATTAATAGGATATACAATTTTTGAAGAATCGATTTCTTTTTGTATTTAATTGACAGTGTACAATGCAATCTCTTAACGAAAAATATCAATGGAACCTCTAAGACTATAGTTTGTCAAATAACTCTTTGTCCTGTGATTTCTTTCACAATTATGCTTGATAAAACTACTACTTTAATCCTTCCTATGTATTCATGAGCGAAATAAGTACAATGTATTCAATATTGAATATTGAAAAATACAAAACTAGTTTACCATTAATACTTTATCAGAAATAGAAAAGAATTTGATAGTAATTCATATCACGTTTACTCCAAAAGTTAACAATTGGTAACAGAAAAGTAATATTTAATCTATATTAAAAAAAAAGTAAACAATATTTACATTTCTCAAATTCAGTTTAAAATCATCACCACAAGTCAGTCACAATGTCCTAGAGGCAACGCGTTAAAAATTTAATCTGCCAGATTTCTTTTAGTTGCTCGGGAATAAAATAAAAATTTCACGTAGCAGCATTAAAATCATATTCACTCGTTTCAATTCTAATATTAACACGAACACACTTTAGCAGAGCACGAGACCATAGATTCAAAAATTCATCGGACGTTCGTGCGCCGTCGACAAAGTTCGGTGGATTTCGTGGCATCGAAGACGAGCACAGTGTGTGAAGAAAATCGACGCAGCAAACGTTACGACCTGTCCTATCGACGGACTGAAATGAGATACAAACTGTTGTGGAGTTATGCCGTCGTCCTTGTCGCAGTTGTCGCTTATTTCTTAGTAAAGCTCGGCAGCTATCGCGATTGGTCCGCGGCGAGCATTGTATAAGCGGTCGTCGCGCGATTTCCTCTCGCGATGCGCACGTACGGTGTGTAAAGTTTTGTGTACCGGCCGAAAGAAACATTTCGTCCGCTGCTTGACACGACGTTTCGGCCATCGCATTGTTATCCGTAACGATTTCGGCGGCTCGTGCATCGTCCGTGTTACATATATTTTTCTCGCGAACACGGCCGTGCAGCCTTTCATTCGCACAGTATCGATTCGCGGGTGGCAAGTTTACAACCGGCGTGCTCGGTGTGTCGTGACTAAACAGATAGTAGGCCTGTGATTGCCAGATACGTGTACTGCTAGACTAGTGCCCGACAATATCGCGCCGCGTACATGGAATGCAAACGCAATGAATATCCTAATGGTGAGTTTAGAATTCGTATAATCCGTTGCCGCTCTCGCGTACCGCCACTTCCACCCGAATTTCTACGTCACTGTTATGTTTCCTTTGACTGTACACCTGTCAGTGATTCACATTCCTGGAATACGTTGATCTGATACTCAAACGAACAGGAAGAATGTTTTAAAATATACATTTCATAGAAACTGTCCTGTCGTTCGACGTGTTCTATGATTGACGGTTTAATTTTTCCGGTTATTTCAGTGTCGTTAGTTTCTTTCATTTTTCTATTATAAAATACTGATCCGATCTTGTCTCGGCGATAAGCCGGTAGTGGAAACTGCAATAAAGTGCAATCTCATTTCCATGTTGTTAATAACGTGTCATTTTGTAAGCTTCGGATTACAGGTTACAACGGCCGATCATAATTCATAGGAGATTCAATCGATTAGATTTTTTTAATTTATTTTTAGCTGGTCTCGGCTTTGGTTTTGTTTACGTGACAGCATGCGTGAACAATGAGCCCGGGCTTTATTGTTTCGAATTGGAGTAAGTTGTATAAGAGGTTCAACATTTGCCCTTTATATCAATCTAACCTGTTCATGTGTCAGTAGCTTTGCAATACAAATTTATACTAATGGATGTCATTATTCTCCCGACTTTTGAAAAAATTTATTTGAAAATTGTAGTTATAAAAAATGTTGAATGCTAAAAAATGCGGGTTTCTTATTTACACCGTCGTTGCTGAAATTTATTATGTGTTATTCAAGGTGGTTAAAACGTATTCTTTCTATTAACTTTCTTATCGTGAATGCAGGGTCATTTTTATCTAAGTGTAGCCGCTTCTGTATATTTTTTTATTCATTAATTTATTTATGTGATATACTTGTAATATATCTAGTTAAAATTATACATAAAAATGAATGTCTAATTTCATTTTGAAATTAGATCGTGCATTGAAATTCCTGTTATAGGTCAAAACTATTCGTTATTAGACCGTAAATCATAGTTACTGTAAAAACTTGAGAACAAATCGGATGGATGGTACATTTAAAACATTTAATACGGAAGTCATTATTTATTGTCGAAAATAACGACAATAATAATAATAATTAACATGAAATATATCCATTTAATAACAATAATAGTAATAGTAATAGAACAATTTTCATTGTTTTTTTTATAAAATCCTTTTACCCACAATGTATGATAATCATTTTTTTTTACAATAAAAAGATTTTTGATGATTGAATTGCATGTTATTGTTTTCCTTTTATTTTTACACTTTCACTTGCCAAGTTAATGAAGTTCCTTAGTTTTGCGAACGTTATACTAAAGATTATTCTAAACAAATTATATTTTTATAAAATTTGTGTTGTAATAGGAAAACCAGATTTCGCAGTAGTGCGCACTACAGTGTATGTTTGAATATTTCATCAGACATGTAAAAAAATATTATATGTAAAATTATCAGATTTTTATCATTTTTATTTTGTAGATTTAATCATTTTCGCAAATCAAATCAAATTGAAAAATTTTACTTCTAGAAATTTTTACATTATCATGAATATAGAGATTTTCAAAGATTCCGGTTTTAATTGTACAAGTTACTCTGACTGAGTAATCTCCAGTCAAAAATCTGTACCGTTTTGAACCTATAAATGCTGAAAATCGCGTAAATGTATTTACAAGAAGAAGGTAAATATTGAAAGTATTAATTGTATTTTCGTTGAAAAATCATCGATAAAAATTCGTTTTGTTTTTCAAGACGTTTGTTTTTTCAAGATTTAGTTATTTTAAAAACATGTATTTAATGCTCTTTAAAACAAATAACAATTTCGTGATTTTTAACATTTTTAACTTTCTGCAGTTACAAAAAGAAAATGTATCTTAAAACATACCAAACATATCATAATGTATAACATCCTTCTCATTTTCACGTATGATGGGTTAAAGAAAATAGAATAAAATCAGATAATCCAATTATCCCTTTTATTATCTTCTTCATCAAGATATATGTGTACTATGTTCCAATCCTGATACAATATGTTTTTTCTTGATAAACTATCGAATGGTCCACCGACAGTCCAGTTTCATTTAAGGGCACTTTTGACCCCCTTATCTCTCTGTATCCTTTCACTAAATATAGAGCAATGATCAATTTTCTGTGGCTTAAAACTATATATTTCAGTATTCTATATCGTACACACATTTTATTTTTACTCTCTTAAGATTATGTAGATGAAATAGCCTTTTAGGAATAAATGGTTCACAATCAAGAATTTATTAATAAACTTTTCGAACATTAACAATTATAATATTCAACAAATCAAATTTGGTATAATTTGTTACCGCAATTTATTTTGGAGTTCGTATTTAATTAAATTTAAGTTATTATACCTGTTTTAAACATAGTTGTAGCTATCTAATATTAAAAAGTCACCGTGAATCGATTTTTTTCTTTCTTGTAATTATATATACGAGAAACATTCGAGAAAATCGATTACTGTCTTAGTCGCGAAGATTGTTTTAGGGAGTGTCGATAGTACTGTGAAGCTACATAATGTTTCGCAATGATAAATCTATAGTGACAAGACTTAATTAAACCATGCATTCCTGATTTTGAGATGTTACACTTTGTGCTCTTAAATATTTCTACATATGTTTTAAGAAATTTTGTTTCCTCGTTACTTGTCTGTATTCGCTGGTAGACACTCTGTTTGGATAACAGATCATCCGAATTATAAATCTTCGAATATTATGATTTATTAATATCATTCTATATTAGGATATTCATATACACAGTGCTTAGCTGTATTTAAAAATTTGTAAATACACACTTTAAGGATACTTAAATACGCGTATTAAAAAAGACGATTTAGCATGTTTTACATTTGAATTTTTCGATTATCATGGATTTATGGCATGTATTTATTGCATTCTCTACATAGTAACGTGTATATTTGTTGAGTTGTATAATCATTACTGTGCTGTGTCTGCGTCAGACAGAAGACATAAATGACTTACGTAAATTGGTAATTTTACCAACGCGTTCCGAGTAATTATTCTTGACGGTAAGAAAATCAGTGATCGTGCTACAGCTGATGTTGGAATTAGCTTGGTGAAATACCGTGAATAATTTTATGTAGTACATTCGTAATTTGTAAAAGTTAATTAATTCATAAAGAAGTAATATCAATTAATTTCTTTATTCTATGATTATTTAATGTATGTTTATAATTTATTCCTTTTAAGATTTCTTAATATGTGCATTAAAATAGAAAAAAAGATAAAAATTCATGAACTAAATAATTTTATTACATTTAGCCATCTACAGGTAGCATTTATGGGAGAGATTATTCCAACTAAAAAATTCGTATTTTAACAAAATCTTGTAGAATTATAGAGTACCTCAGATTAAATAAAAAATCATTTTTTGTAATAGCAGTTTCTTTTGAGGAAGGAGAATCTATTTTTAAAAGTCTCGTTCTATTAACGAAATTCTTACTACTTAATTCCGACAAGAAATATTTTCCATAAAACATATTCTGTCATTAAAGAAAGATTTTTGTTTTTATTGTTTAAGATAATTATTATAAACAAGTGAACTAAACATTTTATTGAAACATGAAAAAATATGGATTTTAAAAAGACACATTTCGTTTTTATCATTATATAAAAACACACATTTACGTTAGTTAATCATGCATTTGTAACAAAATTTATAAACGAATTAAATTGTCACTGGATATAGTAAAATTATCCATAAAATATTGATTATTGTCAGTCAAACAATATGATTACATGCAAAGTAAATAGGTATGTTCAATAGGTGATATTACTGAAAGGAAGATTATTCTAAATTTCTTTCATACTTTAATGCGAGTTTTCAGATAAACAAGAAATGGTACATAATACTGGGTACAGGTAAATACAAACATTAGTTTTATTTTCAACATTTTCATTATTTTCATTATTTTTATTTTTCTTCTATTTTGTCAGAGTAAGCATTTTACGAATGCATCTTAAAGTACTGAATTATGTAAAACTTTTGTACTCATTTTCGAGTAAGTTTTATTACTATTATTTGTAGCAGAAGCTTTTAATATTTTTAATATATTTTTTAAACTCCTGCAATATGTGTATACTGTTTAATTTTCTATTTAAGTCCTGCTTTCATCATTACTGATGGAGAGTGGTCTTGACCTACAAGCTTGTAATTTCCATTTCTAAATTTAGCAAACTATTTTTATATAATTCATTTTAGCAAAATGTTTTTATCTTAAATATCACGTAATCTCATTTGCTGTTTTACTTTTGATTAAAAAAGAAGTATCATATACCGGAAGGATCAGCTATTTTCTACGCGTTTAAAATACTATAATTCTCAGGGAAATCAAGTAACTATCATGAATCTTTCCCTAAAAGACTTTCAAACAAATAAATAATATATAAAAAAATAAAAAGATGAAAATTGTTTGAAAAATAAATTAAAAATTAATCCTTAAACGATATTAACTGTAGTCGATAAATAGTGAAAATTCGATGAATAAAACATTACCTGAAATTACGCCTTCTCCAATATTAATACTTTCGGATGTAATACGTACGATGCAGTTTTAATTGATAATTTAATTTATCATTTCCTTCATTCACATTGTCGATGCACAAATGTTTATGACTGCATAAAATACTCCATTAAAAAGCAAAGTTAGTTATTTGTTTTCAATTAAAATTCCTGTTACATAATTGTATTAACTCAATAATTAATGTAATTATAAAATCGATATCGATAATTAATCTGTTCAGCCCGAATTAAAACAAGATAAAATAATCGAACTGATATCAAACTGAAATGAATTAATTTTTTTCAAAATCACCATTATTGTTCTGACTTCGCACAGCGTATTTTCCATTCCAATATCCAATGAAAAAAGTTGATTTTTCATCGTTGCTTTCAATCTCTAGGACAACCAAAAGTTGATTGCTATTGAATGGAGGCTGCATCCAACGTTCTAGTACTA